GGCGGGGCCCGAGTCGGGCGCGGCGGCGGGCGCGGCGGGCGCGGTGGCGGAGGCCTCCATGGCCGGCACCGGGCGAGACGGCGGGAGGAGGCAGCGGGAGGAGCCGGGGAGGCGGGATGAAACTTCCCTCCCGCGCGAAAAGAAAGAGGAGTGCGGGTTGGGGGGGAGTTTTTCCTCTCAACCCTCACTTCTACAGGTTGGGAAACAGTTTGAGGGTTAGACCTCTAAATTTTTTTACGGGTTTGAGGGTTTAGAGGTTCTAGTCTACGGCTTTTTTTCGACGAAAACTGTAAAAAAAAAGCAATTATTTTTAGGGGTTTGAGGGTTTGAGGGCTCTACTGGACTTGCTCTAAGTGGATCAAATCTCATGACGTGACCGACTAATCGCGCACCGTTTTTTCGGGTTATATGTTTGTTGGCAGCCGACTAAAATCAGAACTGGATTTGCTGGCAACCGACTAATCACGCATGTTTTTTTTAGCAAGAACATTCACAATACCGTTGAGATCAGTTCCAGAAGCATCAGCAGGGCGCAATTCTACGTCTGCCATGTACAAAAAGAATGATTGAAAGGGCAACAGATGCAGGGAAACACTAACTGGAAAAACATTGTTCCACCCAGAAGGCAGTTCCCTGAATCTTGGGATCCGATGATCGCCTCTCTGCCCCGACAGCGGGTGTTTTCTGCAATTCCCTCATGCTCCTAAAAGGCGAAGAACCCTGAAAGGAACAAGCATTTGAGTTAATTCTATAGCAACAGGATGTGAACATCCGCATTACATATCAGCAATCCACAGGACATAACTTTGACTTAAGCAATCATTTCTCGAAACAAAAAAGTTGGCTAAGCAATCCTGAAACTAGGGGAGTACACACATACCAGCCCAATCGTCTCCTGGAGAAGCAGTCATGGTCCAGAGACACTGCAAGAGCAAGAGCCACAGCCCTCTCGGGTAAATCCAGCGGGAGAAACACGCGAAGGTCGTTCTGGATCTGGAAGCACCAATGAAATTTGATCTTCAAATCAGCTTAACAATCAGGCAGAAGCTTTTAAACACTCATCAAGGAAGAACACTTACATCTTTAGCGAAACAAAAAACTTTATCGGTGCCTTTTCCAGCATCACCAAACCGAACTTCATACTGGGAAGCATTCGTGAAGTGCTGCATGCACTGAGCATGAAACCAAAGTTATGCTCATCAGTCCTTACTCACTAGTACTCGCAATCCATTCTTTCTACATTGATAATAGCTTAACAAACAGAAAAAATTAGCAAAAGATATGGGATGCAAAAATCTTGCGCTCAGTTTGTATCACAAGCACAAAGTGGACTCATCCTAAACCAAAATCGTATCATTCTCAAGTGGATGTGCATGTGACATATCCCCGCGCGCAGAAGCAGTGTCAAGCAATAACATCATAGCGCGTATATGCACGGGTCACATCACAGCATGGGGTATCCTCTAAATATCATAAATATTGTAAACTGCATACTAATATTTGGTTGTCCAGTCAAAAGGACATTACCTCCCAACCAACTCCCCTAACCTTGCGGTCAATTATGGCTACTAAATTATCATCCTCATCAAGCAGGGTAAAGGACCAGCTCCAAAATCCAGGATTCTCCACCACAGCAAACTGCCTATTCCTGATGAACAGAAATGTTGGCAAATTAAAATGTCAGTCAGTATAGCAAGACTAGCGCCTGCAAAAAAACCAAGAAAATTGACTAAATCAGAGTTAAGGGAAGAAGATCATGTTACCCTAAGTACAAGTCATAATTTCTACGCCAAAGATGCCAACGACTGTGGACTACACCTACCTCCTGGCCAAAGAGAAATCATAATCACAACCATTGATGTATATCCATAACAATCAAGTAACAAATATCTCTGTACCTTGCCATCCACTTCTGCATAAATGGAGCTGTTGATCCACCTAAAAGGCCGGCGAACCTAAATCCAACAAAAAAAATTGAACTTAATCTAATGTATATTGAGCGTATTCACAATGGTACAAAGCAATGGGTTACTGAGATCTTACCGTGAATATCTCATTACCCTTGGCATCAGTAAATTCTGCAACGAATGGTCGCCTTGTCCAAAGTAGCTGAAACATCAGCAAAAAGTATCTGGTAGTCAATTATATTACAAGGCAGTCATTTACATCAAGAGAACAATGAATAAATAAATACGAAAGATAATAAAATACATCCCCACTCAGGAAAAGAAGAAGATAACAAAGACCTTTGCTTATGAGGTTTCATATTTTTCCTTGAGAAGGAATAGTACTAATTTCATGATTGTGTACAGTTATTTTTTTCGTGTTTGGATCACCAAAATATTTTAGTCGCCACTAGCTAGCAAGTGTCAGAAGGGGAGCCTTGGCGCAGTGGTAAAGTTGCTGCCTTGTGACCATGAGGTCACGGGTTCAAGTCCTGGAAACAGCCTCTTACAGAAATGTAGGAAAGGCTGCGTACGATAGACCCAAAGTGGTCGGACCCTTCCCCAGACCCTGCGCAAGCGGGAGCTACATGCACTGGGGCTGCCCCTTACTAGCTAGCAAGTGTCACAATCCTTCCACTTTCTCATGTTTGGCACAACTAGTTGCTTGCTCACTGTGAGTCTGTGATACATATAACATGTGACTTCACATTTGGGAGGTGCTAAAAACTAGTCGGTGATTTAACTCGCTAGTAGTACTAGTAGCATGCCAAAAGTTCCCTTGAGAAGAGGGAAGTGAGAACATATGCAAGAACTACATACATGGGCAGTTGTGGCCGGATTGCTCAACTCATGGTGACCATTTTTTATGGACTTCAGCGAAAAAAACTTGATCATGAGGTTTTCTAGTACTGGTGGGATTAAGTTAGATTCTCTAACCTTTATGCCATACCACAGTTAGTACCACGTGGATGGAACACATCGTACATATCAAATTCTGCATGAGAACTAATATTTTTTCTATTGAGGAAACCTCCATTGAATCAAAACAGAAACAGAGTACAATAATATAGTCATTTCAAAGCATCCCAATAACTAGTCAATACGGTAACATACTTATTCCCCACCAACACCCCTGTCCAGCCAACAAAAAATAATGTAATGGTCCTCTAATGAAGAAAAAAGTTCAGTTATCTGTCGAACTGATGAAACATATGACCAGTACACATGATGCATGGTCCCATGATGATGATTTATATGGAGAAAAACAATGCAGGGAGTATAGGGACTACTCCAGTTAAATAGATTGTGTCATACAACAGAATACAGCAGTCAGCAGCATAACTAAAACTGAGAAGTCCAACTATTATGACACAACTTATTTGGTATTTGGAACAGTGCATTATATGTAAAAGATATCATGTGACCACCAAAATTTCTGATCTCAGAACAGAATCTTTAAAATCAGTATGATGCGGTACAAATATAGTTAGAACCAACTGAATGCACAAAAGTACCTGCCTAAGGATGACGTTGCTTTTCTCTCGAATTAAACCCACAGACTGGCATTGGAAGAATAAACAAGCCAACCGTTACGGCCTAGAAAACGGAGCAAAAATAGTACAGGATAGTACATGAATGGAACCTCTGGTGCAGTCAGGAAAGAGAGACACTCACAGTTTTTCTCCGAGGAGTGCGTGGATCCTTTATGATGTATCTAGTCTCCTGAGGTTCAGATGACAATAGTGATAACTGAGTAAGTTGACTGAGAGAAGAAAAATACAGGGAGCACGACTTGGGGAATTCTCTTGGGCTATGCAGGTGAAGTGGGTTACAGATACATCACCTGCGCGTATGCAAACATGATACTTGCCCATTCTACTTTCCTGGTAATGATTAGTCTGGCCCTTGAGAGCAGAGGCTTCAGTTTGGCCTATAAATATGCACACAGAGAAGCAATCTCGATCATTCCAACAGCTATGTATGTACACATTGATATATTGAAACAGCTACATCACTACAGCAGGATGAAGCATCAACCATCAAGTAGACCTTTTAACTGAGTGGCCAGTATCCTACTATTATCCCCACCAAAATGGTGTACATTTCACACTCTGCCTTCAGCATTTTCCCCACCAAATGTTGTACATTTTACACTCTCTTCAGCATTTTCCCCACCAAAATCGTTGTGCAACACGGCCTTTACCACCATTTCCAAGCAAAGCTCACGATTCCTCGAGCTCATCAAGTACTCTCTTTGATAGACTAGTTTTAACAATTAGACAGCGTCAGACCAAACCGGGCATAGGAAGTTGCGGTGGGAAACTGAGAATCCGCTTGCCTGTACGCGCGCGGTGTCGAGGTCTTGATGCAGGCAGATCCCCGACGGCGCGTCCTCCTCGCCGGCCGTTCCCCCGCCGCTCTCCAGCGCTGCCACATTGGGGTCGACGAACGAGGGAGCGGCGTCGCCGGGCGAGACCTTGCCGTCGCCCTCGGCCGCGCGCCTCCCCGGCCTCTTCGCGGCGCCCCGCTGCTTCTTCGGCTCTCCGCGCCACAGCCCCCGCAGCCACGCCCACGACCACGGCTGGGGCGCCGCGGGCCTACGTCCGCGGCGGCCGCCGCCGGCGCTCGCGAACCCGCGGCTGGCGGTGGTCCTCGCCGAGACCCTCCCGGCCGCGGCCGCCGCCGCGTGGTTCCAGCTCATCGGAGAGGGAGGGGAGGTGGGGAGAAGCGCGGAGGTGCTTGGTCGAGCTCACCGGCGGGGCGGCGCCGCTGGGGAGGGTTTTTGCCGTTTTGGGCAGCAAAGGTGGTGCGGCGGCCCTCGTACGTGAGCAAAGTTGATGCATTTTGGGTGCTCCCCAAAATGTTGAGAACCCGCTCCGCTCTTTCGATTTTCCTGGACCCGCGCGCAAAATCGCGAAACCAACTCCGGCCGCACGGGTGGGCTTCTGGCCCAGTTTGGTACGAGATAATAAGTAGCACTCCCTCCGTGAGCGTCTACAGATCACTAAAGTAGTGATCTATCTCTCACAAAAAATCTAAAGTAGAGGTATTTTGGGGGAAAAATAAAAATACAATTTGTGGAAAAAATAACGAAGCAGGATCCAGGAAAATCGAAATAATAAAATAGAATTTGTGCGAAAAAATGTGGTTTTTTTTCACAAGAGAAATGACCATGCCTTTCGAAAACGAAAAAAAACACGTTTGTTTTTCTTCCAGGGAGGCACGGTTTTACTTTCGTGAGGGCACGAGCACGACCATACCTCTCTGAAACAGAAAAAAAAACACGTTTTTTTTTATTCTTCCACAAGAGACACGGTTTTGCTTCCGTGAGAGGCACGGTTTTGCTTCCGCGAGAGGCACGGCCGTACCTCTCGGAAAAGGGAAAAATATGTTTGTTTTTTTTTTCTTCCGTGAGAGGCATGTTTTTCCTTCCGCTAGAGGCATGGATTTGTTTCCTCGAGAGTCACGGTCGTGCCTCTCGGAAACGGGGAAACACTATTTCTTTCCTTCCACGAGAGTCACAGGCTTACTTCTCATGGAGGTATGGATTTGCTTCTGCGAGAGGCACAATCATGCCTCTTCGAAAAGGAAAAAAACATGTGCTCTTGGTTCGGTTTTCCGTCCATTTTTTCCTGTAAAAAAGTTCATCAAAATTTATCAATATGGGATCTAGTTTGAAGATCTCGACGCGAGGAACCTAACAGTGAAAACGATTCGAGATTTAGACACATGGTTTAAGAGATAAAACATTTTGAATAAATGAATCTACGAAAAAAATGAAAAACAAGGTTATGACAAGTGACTCACATACAATGCGCAACTTATCGCAATCTGATAAGGTGGGAGTAACCTTTGCAAGGAATACTTCTTAAGGGTGTGGCTGGATCTCGGTCATTTGAGACTTAAGCAAGTCTCGATCAAGTGACACAACATATGAAAGAAAGAAAGAAAAAAATTAAAGAAATTTTTGCACGGATCTCTATGTAATATCTCATGGATATAGCATCGACTGAGGCTTCATTAAGTTTCAGTCGACTGAGATTTAGCAACCCCACTCCTTAATAGTGATTTCGAGTGGTCTAAGAGCATCTACAGCCGGCGCCCCAACCCCGTCTCAAACGTCCAGGCGGACGACCCGGTTAGTAATAGGCCACAAAAAGGCGACCCACACGGGCTTCTTAAACTGGCCTCAAATATCCGGGCTGATCGGCACCCCTCATATCCAGCTCAAATACGAAACTAATATGCATGGCGGACCCAACAACCCTATCTTTCCTGAAATTGCACCAAATCTATCCCGCTCGCCCTACCGGATTCATTTGCTCTCGTACTCCGGCGAGCTCGTCCCACGCACGGCCTTCAAGAAGCGTCGTTCTGTAGGCACTGGTTCCACTGACGATGCTGCTCTAGATATTGCCGGCCTCCCTGGCATTGAAATACGAACTTGATCGCTGAGTGCATAAGAGCATCTCCAATAGATGGTCTAAATGTAAAAATATCGAACTTTTTGACCGTCTTGGGCAAAAAACACTACTCCACCAGACGGTCAATATGTAAAAAAAAATTGGACCGCGGCCTCCCGGTGATGTAAAAATAAAAACTTCATAATGCAAATTTACATCAAGAGATACAAGTGATGTAAAAAAAACCGCGGCCGCGGCCGCGAGCCAACGCCCAACCGCCAGTTCATTCACCTTCCACCTTGCGACCGCCCGCCCGTCCACCCCTCCCCCCGCGCGCCTTCCGCCGCCGCCATGGCCGAAGCCGACGACCCCGCCGCCTTCTCCGCCGCCGCCGTCGTTGCCACCGCGGCGAACTCACCCTCTACCACCGCGTCCATGTCGTCGCCCCGGATTCACGCCACCCCGTCCGGCCTGTCGCCCCTGGGTCGGCGGTTCCTGCGAAGGCGTCGAAGGTACAAAAATGGGCGGCCAATCGCGGTCGGAACCCGGATGAAACTGCGGCGTGACCGACCAAAAACTCGAAGGCAGCCGCGGTTCACAACGGTGATGATGATGATGATCGTGCCATGGTTCACAACGTCGGTGGTGTTGATGATCCATATAAATGATATTCATGTGTATTTTAATTTGTAGGACAAAAAACTTTGACTGGGACGTTGCACTTTTGGTAGAGGGATTTCAAACTATGATGATGATGATGCACTTTTGTTATGATTTGAACTATGATGATGCTGCACTTTGTTTTAAATTTGAAGTGATATTTGAACGCAAAACAGTGGCTGTATAGTGGCTGAACAGCAGCCGCATGGCCGCGGGCCGGTTTTGCATCTTTGTTTTGGACCATTTGTTGGAGTTTCTCTTATTTTTACATCTCCGTTTTGGACCATCTATTGAAGTTGAGCCTTTTTCGGAGATGTAAAAAGCATTTTTTGATGCTCCAAATTTGGACCATCACCTGTTTGGACCGCCAAAATTTGGGCCATCTATTGGAGATGCTCTAAGCATATAATCCAAACTCGGATGAATGAAATGCAAGAAGAGTTTTTTTAAGGGCAAGAAGAGTTATTAATAGTCTTTTTGTTATTGTTTACTCCCCCCTATGTTCCAAGGAATAAGACATATTTTGTTTCTATAAGACAAGATTTTGACCAACAATTACTTTCTCAATATTTAACTTATGTGATGATAGTATCACTATCATAACAAAATATTTTTCAATATGAATCAGGTGACACAAATTTCATGTCATATAATCTTGGATTCATGCAGTGATGACACTGCATTTTTTTCATTGTAAAGGAAACAACATTTAAAATACAACCCGTTCCCACCCCATCGCGCTCGCGCTGCCCCCAGGGGGGCGGCTCGAGCTAACCCTAGCCGCCGCCGCCCCCATCCACCCCGACCCACCCTCTCCCGCCGCCGCCGGAGGAAGCCGGCGAGCAAAGCTCGTCCGACGAACGGCGGTGGCGGGCTCGCCCTTCATCCTAGGGGCGGACTCGGGCTGCGCGCGACGACGACCCTGGGCTTCAGGCGTGGCGGCGGAGATAGGAAGCTGGAGCGGCGGCTCCAGGGCTTTTCGGCGGGGCTGCGCCTCCATGGTTGTCGGGGCAGCGTGGTGGTCAGCCATGGCGCGCGGTGGCGGCGGATCTGGGCGCCCCTGCCCAAATACGTCCTGCTGCGGGTGGTGGCGGCCCGTGGTGTCGTCGGCGCTTGGCTGCGTGTCCAGGGTGGTTCTCCACTACAGCGAGTGGAGGTGGTCGTCGGCGCGGCGGGTGCGCCGGATCTGGGTGTGGCCAGATATGTGGTCGGCGTTGTCAGAGTCGGCTTGTTCAGCTGCCGGTACGCACAGGCGGTGGGTTCTAGCGCCAGATCTGGCCGCAGTCATCCGGCCCTAATCAGTGGGCTTCTCTCCTGCGGGTTCCTGACGGTGCCGGCGTGGTTGCCGGGACCCTGGCCGCGGGTGAAGCTGATGGAGGAGATCCAGATTGGAGGAAACCCCTTGGTCGGCCCCGACCGGCCGCGCCGACGATGACGCTCAAGGGCGCCGCTTTTCTTCTTGAAGACGTCGGTCTATGTTTGCTCCTTCATTTCCCCGCTCTCTGCCTCTCGGGTGAAAATCCTAACTCCGGTGGGCGGCGGCGGCGTCCTTGACGCCGTGACCTTACTGAAGGCACCGTCTTGAGGGTTGAGTGGTGGTGGGCACTGTGTGGGTCCTTGACGGTTGCTGGTGATGGGCACTGCTTCGGGGGAAACCCTAGGATCTGGTTCTCCAGATCGGACGATGGCGGTATTGCGGTGTCGTTTCTCTCTTGGGAGCATCGTTTGTGGAGCAGCGCTAGAAGACACAGGCAGGAGGTGGAGCGGCTCCGTCTTGCATGAAGCTTCGGTGGAGTTGTCAAGTCATGCCTGGCCGACAGGTGCTACGCTGAGTCATGCCTGGTTGGCAGGTGCTACGCACGACAGATCTTCCAAAGTCTTCGCGTCTGGACGGACGAGCGCAAGGCGGTGATGCCGTTGGGCGCCGTGGTGGCGTCGATGGATGTCCGGACTGGCAAGGATGATGTGGAGCTATTTCCTGAAGATGGGTCAGTGGTCCGATAAAGATGGCGGCTTCTAAAACGTGTGCATGTGGTGTGCTCTTTAGGTCTGCTGCACCAGCTGTTAGTCCCGATACGTTATGTGGATGGATCGGCGACGACACTGATTGTAGATAAGGGGAGTGAGAGCACTCCTCATTATCGAATTTGTAGATGTGAGTGATGGCTTCGGATGATTTGATGTATGTTCTTGTCAGACCATTGTGGAATAATTAATAAAGATGGCTGGATGCATCGATTGATGCAGAGCCCGGGGTTTCAACCTCCTTTTCTAAAAAAAAAAGGAAACAACATTAACAAGTGCTGACTGACAAGTTGCACATGCACTATTTTTCCATACGAGATCAATGCTATACTGCTATGTTGAATACAGTTTTTCGATAAAAGGAAAAAGATTGACTAACTCATCACATCAAGATAATACAGCCACGAGTACAAAACCCGCCTCTGCATAACAACATGCACACATACAATTACAAACAAGTGCATCAAACAAAGAGAAAACGAGTTTGTGAGGAGGAATGGCAAAAGGAGTTTGTGCAGTTATAACTCAGCAGTTTCTCTAACATTTATAATAATACCAAGGTATATGGGAAAAAGGATTCAACTTCTGGTAAGCAAAGGAATTGTATGCAGTG